GTGCGGATTTCGTCGTGCCCGTTACCTGCGATCGACCCCGCCTCCGGTCATTTTGACTCTGTCATGACACCGGGTATGGGCAGGTGGATACAGTGCAAGTCGAACTGTCACGAAGACATATCATGATGAATACGCGCGTAGTCCATAAAAGTATAACACAGTCGACTGGACAGAGTACCCTTCCTGGCGGTTGGCGCACAACACAGCCTTTTTACTGTCTATTTTCCGGCAGCAAACTTCTGTTCACCAACACTGTCTTGCTTGACTTGTGATTTGGGAGAACCTTCTGTTTGTCGACACAACAACTTGCGACATACCTGTGAAAATAAGTTCTAAACTTCATATGATAATAATTACATTAGGAAAACGCAGCATGCTGGAGGATTAGGAATGCTGATTCCCTTTCTATATCATATGTATATGCATTTTCGCAGGTATATTGCTGACTTTAAGAAAACAATCGTTTGTCTGGACTAGTTCATCCACATCAACGAGTTGAGGAAAGTTGGTTTGTATTTTCATACCGAAAGGTTTTAGGGGATGCATGTCAGGGAGACTTTACACCTACCACTTGGTCGGGGTAGCAGCCAAGTAGTGTAGTCAGGACAGCCGCGAACGGCAGAGTGCTCTCCAGTGAATAAGCAAACTGGTGCTTCGCCTGGGCCAGCGCAGCTGTGAGGAGACAGTGCCAAGCGTAGGTTCGTCCAAGTCCTCCAGGCAAAGTGTCAAGACGAAATTGAGCACTGCCTTGGATACCCGACCCTGGAGGTCGCACCGGTGCACCTTTTAAAAAGGTAAGCAAATAGTTCGTTCGATTCAGGCAGTGTTCTGGATCATTTCGTGTGATCTGAAAAATAAATCAGTATGGTATGGAAATTGAAAACGATCCATGCAGGAAACATCACATTTATCGACAGCGTTTGAGAAAAAAGCGACGTACTTGACTACATGCTGAACCAATAATCGTTTTTACAATGGCCGTTGACGTGCGATATTGAGGATCCGAGAGGAGAGAGAAAATTTCATTCTCGATAACCTTCGTGGCCCTTAGGGCTTGGGCTCTCGAGAGTCCACGTATAAAAATTAGGGGTTCCTCCGCGGACGATTCAGACTCCTGTCAAGAGGACGTATGCTTAGAAGTTGCAGAAAAATGAACTTTAATTTTGAAGTTATCGAACAGCATCCAACAGGAAACTTACAGAAGACGACGCGTAATCCACGTCTGAAGCACCTTCTTCGAGGGGCTCCCTGTTTTCAACAAGAGCAACTGCCTGTCTAAGGTAAAGTTCGGCGTCCGCGATAAAACGCCCAAAAGGAGCATAAATGTTGTCATCGACTTGGGTATAGTCATCACCATAAACTGACTTTGGAGGTAGTGTGAGAAAGACGATGGCGCGGGTTTCGAGACTTTCGATTTTTTGCAAAAGGTCCCATTTTAGTTCTAAAAATCACACAAATACTTAACATACCTTTGCACAAATAATAGCAGCAAAATTTTAGACTTTTAATGGCCACAAAGAG